CCGTCTAATCCGCAGTTAATCCCTGCTCGCTGGGATCACTATAAATACCCTTAAAACCTCACCCACACATCATCCTAGTGCTAGCATGGCGCCTTTGATCACTGCTTTCATTTTGGCCACAATCTGTGCTCTTGCAATTGTTCCCGCAACAATGCAATCCACCTCTACAAGCTCGACACCTGTCGCAAGCATCATGGGTTTGTTCTATTTTTACTAGTTCTTCCGCTTATCAGTAAAAAATTAGCCAAATCAGCTCTAAAAGCGAAATAAATTAGTCTCCCAGTTCAGCATTCCGAAATTATTCAACCACTAAAGTACTGAGCAATGAAAATCCTCCACATACGTGTCTGTTTATCCGTAGTCCAAATACAGCAATGTTAACGTGCCGATAAAGCACATGCACAAAAGGTTTTTTTGGGCTCAATTTTAGTTCCATAAGTTAGGACCTTTCCACTGTTTTTCCAGTATCTTTTTCCCTCAGTTTGTTTGAACCGGTGTAGGCGACTGCTGACTTTGTCTCCTTCCTTCCTACTCTTTTCACCCCCTTTCATACAGGCCCATTTTCTCGTATCACCTCCTCAATAGTGATGACTTTATGCCGTTCTTTCCACACCGATCCTGCTAATTTTCGACGCGAATTTGATGAAATTTTAGGTACCGGTGGTACACCAAAGTCTGTACGAAAACGTGAGGCATGGGTTGATCAGGAGATGCGGCTCGATCGCACTCCCAAAAAGCCCACTATTGATGATGACATTCAATGATGGAACAAACCGGTGCTTTCAGCAAGCACATCTAAAAGAGCCAGCTTCTAATTATTGCATGTTCAGTAATTTGTCTTTTGTCTTTGAAACAATGCCCGATGCAGTCTTTTTTGGAGCACACGATGCGCTCTCGCTTTCCATCAAATCTCATCCTGATAGTTGGAACTCACCGCCAACTTGCTTTTAAGCAACCTACTACATCACAATTCACTCGATCGTTTATTCTGGAGGGGTGGCTTAATTGACTGCTGCAAAGAAGCTGGCCTTTTGCTGATCCCAAGTACCCTGGTAGCCCGCCATGCTGTCGCGCTTCCCTGCTTCATTTAACAGTTGCGAATTACACAGTTTGTTTTCATTTTGTTCGCCTTATACAAGCAGCACTTGAGCGAAGGGTTCTTGATGCTTTGCCTTTTTACATGAGAGATTTCTCGGTGCTGGAGCAGCTGTTTCCATTGATGAAACAGACTGCTTTAATCCGTTGACAATCTCAGTGCACGTCTCATCACATTGGCCATTTACGGCACACTATTTAACAGTGTTTTCGTACGTGTAATTAATACATGCGTGTAGTGAATGTTATATGCCGCCATCGCTTCGCATATATTGAGAGCCACTCAATTCTTGCGCATCCCTTGCTTTAAACAACCCCTCGCAGTGCACCTCCACATACTGCTCGAACAAACAACACACAGTTCTCGGCGATATTACAGAGAGGCAGCGGCAGTCATCATCTTATGGTCCTCACTATCAAAGTCAAAAGTCAAAACCCCTTCAAGCTTTCACCTTTGTTAGGTGAAAGAGTACATACTGCCAACTGAATCGAGAATCACCATCCTGCTACCAAATAAGTGTTCGTGTTTGTTCAAAGTGCACAACCATTTATCGATAACAGCTAACAACTTTACAACACATAACTGCGCAATCAGAAAAGGGAAGTAGCACCTCGGTGTACAGAGCCGAACAAAGCAGCACCTCACTCCCTCCTCCACTCATTCCAGCCACGATAGAATTGAAAAAACTACGCTTTTTTGAGAGTGACTGCGGCACTAGGGATGATTTTTTTATTGCAATTCTACGTTTTTTCTAATCGGCAGAAAAGAAACATTTGTCTTCAAATTTTTATACGTTCTGTGGTAGTTAATCATTTCCCTTCCCTTTCCTGTCGAAGCTTCTG